ACCAGCCCCCAACCCCCCAACCCCCAAACCCCCCAACCCCCCAACTCCCCCAACCCCCCCCCAACCACCCCACCGACCGCACACCGACGACTCCGACCCCGAGGCCGAGCCGCCTTGCCCAGGCTTTTGGCGTGCTCGCGCATGGCGGGGGCCCAGGCCTTGTAGAAGTTCAGGGGCACCTGCATGGGCGTGTCCACGCCTCAGATCCGCTGCTCGATCAATCACTCAAAACCCTCAGTCCAGGGGCTGAACCGAAACCCCCGGTCTTAAGGGAAACTGAACTCTTTCCCCCCTGCGCTGATTCTCACAGAGACTCCATGGGGAACTCTTGTCCCCCCTTCACTTCGCTTTTGCAGGGTTGGTTCATTGGGTTTCTTTTCCCCCTTTGGTTTGTGGAGGGGTTGGTTCATGGGATGCCTGGTGGTTGGCTGGCGAGTTCCCCTTCGCTTCTGGGTGATCGATCCCCCAAAACCCCCCGGTCCCAGAGCAGAACTCTTTTCCCCCTTCGGTTCTGGAAAGTTGCTTCATTGGATGCTGGTCAATTGCTTGGCTGGCTGGTTGCTTGGTTGCTTGCTTGCTTCAAAAGGGATGCCCTTAAACAAAAGGCTCCGACCAGTCTTGGTCTATTTGAGTCAGGGGTGCTTTCACTCTTCCTTGGGAGTAAGCTGGGATCCGGTTGTCTCCCCGACCACCATCTGCGTTTGAGGACCAATACACAATCAGCGGGCAATCAGGCCAAAAGAAAATTGTAGTCACTTTGACCCGAAAAAGGTTCTAACGTTGCGTGTCGTAGGAACGCCCCCTTTGACTGGTTCAGTTCCACTTAAATGAAAACCACCTTGCAGTCGCTGCCCGAGATGCGAGCTTCACCTGTGGCCATCTTAGGACCCCCGGACCAGCCCCAGGGTAAATCCCAAGGCAAGGAGGAAATGTGGGGTGCAACTACGCCAACGGCCGTGCTTAGGTGTTGCAAGCGATGAATGACCGCCCAAGGGGCGGTAACCATCCACATCCACACTCTCAATCAACGCCTTGGTCATGGCGATGTACTTCTCCTTTGCAGGGACATCAAAGTGACTCTCTCAAAATGACCACACCAACATGGTGTACAGACTCCGTCTGGAAAAAAAACGCAGACCTGTGTTGGAAGACTAGTGCACAAAACCCTTGTTGTTGGTGCTGCTGGTGGCATATCCTTTCAAAAGGGCGGTGGTGAAAATCAACCAATCGAGCAACATCTTTGCATCCAAAGAGTTTGCCCTTCAGATGGCTCCAACGATATCAGCCTCCAAAGTTCATATGGCTGTGGGTCAAAACCCTGTACCCCTGGTGAACATCAAAATTGGTGGTAAGTCCCAAAATGGAGCCATAAGTTATGACCCATGGCCACATGCGTTTTTGTCACAACAGAGCCACCTAAGCCTCAACTCAGCCTGAGAAGTCACAGGCACAACTGAGACAAGAGCTGTAAACGGGGATGTGCTTGTTTGGTGTAGATACCCCCCCTTTCAGCTTGGCTTAAAGGGAAACCACCATTTCGGGGCTCCAAACCCTGTTGAAATGTCGGTCCATGTGGTTGTGGACATTTGGGGCCTTTGATGATTTGAAGGTCTTCCCAAACTTGGACTTTGGCTCCATCCCCGTTTGCAGCACAAAAACCCTTGTTGTTGGTGCTGTTGGTGGCATATCCTTTCAAATGGCGGTGGTGCATCCACCAATCGAGCAACATCTTGGCCCATTCATCCCTCAGCTGGCTCCAAGGACATCAGCCTCCAAAGTTCATATGCGTTTGTATCACAACAGAGCCCCCGAAGCCTCAACTCAGCCTGAGAAGTCACAGGCACAGTGAGACAAGAGATGTAGATGGGGATGTGCTTGTTTGCTGAAGATACCCCCTTTTCAGCTTGGTTTAAAGGGAAACCACCATTTTGGGGCTCCAAATCCCTCTTTTGATGATTTGAAGGTCTTTCCAAACGACAAAGGGCACCCTTTTTGGGCCGTGAAAGAAAACCTGAAAGCCTCGAATCTGGGGTTACCTATTTAAAGACAAACCCAGCTGAGATGGCAAGTCCGCGTATGAGCGCTTTGGACTTGTAGACAATGGGCACACTTTTCCACAAGTGTGCTCTCCCCCCCCCACAGCAAACGGGGATGGAGCCAAAGGAGACGCTGCCACTTGACAGTTGGGAGGGCCAACACAAATCGCAGAAGCTCGCTGTTGCTTCCACCATGCTTGCACAGGTGCATCTCCTCGCAATCTCATTCTATCAAGAAGTGGAACTAGGCTCCTGTCAGGTCCTCCAAACATCACCTTGGAAACTCGGTCAACATCGGAACCCGCCGTATCAGGCAGATCCTAAACATGGCGACTCTGGCTCCTCCAAGTAAAGCAAATGCGGGGGGAAAAAAAAAAGCACTGCTCTGACCTCCGAGGTCCACACACACTTCCCGAGGCGAAATCTGGTCGCAGGGCGTCCCCTTTGAAACCAGCCACGGGTTTCCGGTGGAACGGGCTGGACCCGCTGAGAAACAAGGCACTGGCCGGGTTCTGTGCTGAAGCTACACTATGGGCCACCAGTTTCGTTGGTTGGGGTACAAAGATCTAGGCCACCGAGCCAGTGCAGCTGGCTCAATGGGGTACCCCCTCCTGTCCACTGTGGCACCTGAAAGGGGGTCCCTCCAAGAGGAAATCTATCTTCCAGGTTGCTACGTTGGACAAGAGGGCATTGCGAGAAACTAGAGAGGGACCCCAACAAACTGACTTTCACACATACCCTCTTGGAGTTTCACACATCTCTCTATTTTCGAACCTTCACATGGATCTTGGGGTTTCCTTTTTGCCTTTCCTCCAAACCAACTCCCCTCAAAGACGTTCCGAGCCCCAGGCTTCTGATTTGAAAAAAAAAAGGATTCGGGGCGGTCGGGTCCTGCACGCGGTGGTGCTCCAGTCTTAGGTCGTCCATCACCCCGTAGATCTTGCCGTAGTTGATCTGCCAGGGGTCGAAGTAGTCCATGAGGTCACCTGCTGTTTCAGCAAAAAAGAACATCAAAACAGAAACCAAGGGGCAAACTTCAGGGGCACCAGCCAAGTACACAAGGTAAGCTTGAAAAAACTGTATTCCAAGAACTCGAAACTCTGAAGGTTCCCTTAACCTGAAAAGAGCCTAATCTTGAGACATGCCCTTGAAAGGAAACCCAACGGGCGGGCCCCCAGAGGGCCCTTGGCTTGAGCCCTTGAAATTTTCCATGGCTTCATCTCCTTACCAACAGGCCGGGGTTTGTGTGCTATCTATCTGCTTTCACCCTGGGGTACTCGTTTTAAGGTTCCATAGATCATGTTGCTTGCATGGAGAAACTGCCGCGCAAAGCGATGCAGCTAGCTTTCCGCAAATTCTTCATGGGTTGTGGGTTCCCAAGAGTTTTGAAGGTATGGCATACCTGGGTAAGGGCAAGTGAGCCTTCGGGAGTGTCCCAAGCCGGATATTCGCCACTTTGATGCTTTACTATGGGAGTTGGGTATTAACAACCGTGGACATTGAAGTACATCGACCCTCGAAAAGCACTTGCCCTGTTCCGGCCCTTTTGAAGTGGTCTTTGATTCGGCGGCCAAGTCTCATTCATTTAAGGGGTTCTTACTAAAAATGAACCGAACCGAAGACACGAGTCTAACAAACATACAGATATGTGTCAGACTCGGGGGACCATGCCAATTCAAAGAATACTAACTGGTTTCCTCAGGTTTCCTTGGGAGTTGTTCCATGTCGCAGGTTTCCCTTACTCTAAACGACTTCCCTCTGGCCAACCAAAAAAAAGCTCACAACTCGCCACCGGCCGCGGCGCCATTGTGGTGGAAGTCCGACTCGATGTACGTGCCCGCGCCCGTGTCGTCCACCCACTCGCCATACTGACCGTAGAGGGTGCCGTTGTAGGTGGCTGCAGCGTCCTCGGCCGAGTCTTCGAGTCTCCGAGTCTTCGAGTCTCGCGGCAAGCCTCCAGACCTTTTGCCCGGCATCCACTTGGCCGGTCGATCTCCTTTGAACAAACCCCGACGGTATCAACTCGGAGCCAGGAATGCACACCACCTATTTCATTTTTGAAAAGGGGGAATCCGAGCTCTCTCTTGCAACCCAGTTGCTTGCTGGTTCTCAGTTCAAAAATATATATGAGGGAATGAACCATTCAAAAGGGGAAACCACGAGTTGGATGGTTTTTCTTGGGGGGCCATTCCATACCTCTCAGGGCCATTCCCTGCAAACCTCTCGCACCGATCGAGCAAGCGAGCTCACCCGCGACTTGGGCTCCGCACCCAGGAGTTGTCGTACCAGAAGTCCTGGGCTTGCGCTTCCCTTTTCCCCGGAGCATGGGGCGTACCAACCAACCGGCCCCACACCAAGCGGGGAAAACTCGTGTTGAAAAAACAAAAATGGTTGGCGTCCTGTTGGGACCGTACCAATCGTTGCAACGAAGCCTGGCCACACCATATGTTTCTTTTCTTTTTTAAACAAAAACAGGTTGGGTACCACAAAAAGGAGACATGACGGGGTTGTTCCAACTGTGTTTGCCGTGATTCTTAGGGAAACCAAATGGGTGGCTCGTCCTTCTTGTTTAGGGAATCCCTTTTTGGTGGGAAACCAAATGGAAAACCATTTCTCATTCCCCAGATAGCTGAAAGCTATAGGGGTTCTAACTTCTAATAAAGAGGGGAAAGTGATTTGCGAGATTGAGGGCCGGGTGCTAGGAGGCATGCAGTTTGAGGTGCTGGTGGATGCTGCTTTGCGAGCTTGACGGCCGGGTGCTAGGGGGCATGCAGTTTGAGGTGCTGGTGGATGCTGCTTTGCGAGATTGAGGGCCGGGTGCTAGGGGGCATGCAGTTTGAGGTGCTGGTGGATGCTGCTTTGCGAGCTTGACGGCCGGGTGCTAGGGGGCATGCAGTTTGAGGTGCTGGTGGATGCTGCTTTGCGAGCTTGACGGCCGGGTGCTAGGGGGCATGCAGTTTGAGGTGCTGGTGGATGCTGCTTTGCGAGCTTGACGGCCGGGTGCTAGGGGGCATGCAGTTTGGGGTGCTGGTGCAGCTTTTGGTGACGCTGCTTTGCGGGGCTGGGCATGCTTGCGTTTTGCACTGCCTTGCGAGCTTGACGGCCGGGTGCTAGGGGGCATGCAGTGTGGGGTGCTGGTGGATGCTGCTTTGCGAGCTTGACGGCCGGGTGCTAGGGGGCATGGGGGGCATGCAGTTTGGGGTGCTGGTGGATGCTGCTTTGCGAGCTTGACGGCCGGGTGCTAGGGGGCATGCAGTTTGGGGTGCTGGTGGGTGCTGCTTTGCGAGCTTGACGGCCGGGTGCTAGGGGGCATGCAGTTTGGGGTGCTGGTGGGTGCTGCTTTGCGAGCTTGACGGCCGGGTGCTAGGGGGCATGCAGTTTGGGGTGCTGGTAGGTGCTGCTTTGCGAGCTTGACGGCCGGGTGCTAGAGGGCATGCAGTTTGGGTGCTGGTGGATGCTGCTTTGCAAGCTTGACGGCCGGGTGCTATGCAGTTGGGGGTGCTGGTGGGTGCTGCTTTGCGGGTGCTACGGGGCATGCAGTTTGGGGTGCTGGTAGATGCTGCTTTGCGAGCTTGACGGCCGGGTGGGGGCTGCTGATTTGCGAGCTGGCCGGCGAGCTTGACGGCCGGGTGCTCGGGGGCATGCAGTTTCGGGTGCTGGTGGATGCTATTTTTCGAGCTTGACGGCTGGGTGCTGGGGGCATGCAGTTTGGGGTGCTGGTGGATGCTGTTTTGTTTTTCGAGCTGGCCGGGTGCTAGGGGCATGCAGTTTGGGGTGCTGGTGGATGCTGTTTTGCGAGCTTGACGGCCGGGTGCTGGGGGGCATGCAGTTTGGGCTGCTGGTGGATGCTGTTTTGCGAGCTGGCCGGGTGCTAGGGGGCATGCAGTTTGGGGTGCTGGTGGATGCTGTTTTGCGAGCTTGACGGCCGGTTCTAGGGGGCATGCAGTTTGGGGTGCTGGTGGATGCTGCTTTGCGAGCTTGACGGCCGGGTGCTAAGGGGCATGCAGTTTGAGGCGCGGGTGGATGCTGCTTTGGTTGTACCGGGTGCTAGGGGGCATGTTTGGGGTGCTGGTGGATGCTGTTCGCGTGTAACGGTTCGTGGCTGGTGTATCGTCATGATGTTCCCACGTTATGGTGTGTGGGTGTAGTGGCGCCGTGATGCTGTCAACATCAGGATGATGCAGAATTTCATTAAGCTGTCGCAAGATGGTTCGTGGCTGTGGTATCATCATGATGCTGCCTTTACCATCAGCATGATGCTGTTCGCATCACCATGATCACCATGATGCTGTCCGCATCATCATGATGCTGTCCGCATCATCATGATGCTGTCGAACTCATCAGGACCTCGTTTTTGCTTTTTCCTGCCGGATTGCTCTCAAAATCATCATTATGCTGCTGATCTCATTAGGACGTTGTCTGCGCGTTTGTTTCGTGGCTGTGGTGTGATCATGGTCTACATCATCATGATAATGCTGCGTCATGGTTCGTATCCGTGGTGTGCTATCTGGGGTCTATGCTGGTGTATTTCTTTTCTTGTTTTTCCCCAGATAGCTGAAAGCAACAGGGGTTCTAACTTCTAATAAAGAGGGGAAAGTGATTTGCGAGATTGATGGGCTGGTGCTAGGGAGCGTGCAGTTTGGGGTGCTGGTGCTGTTTGAGGCGCTGGTGGCAGTGCGGGCGCATCTTTTCAAGATTGACGGTATGGTGCTAGGGGGCATGCAGTTTGGGGTGCTTGTGCAGGTGCTGTTTTGGGGGGGTGACGGTGCGCGCGTATTTTTGCATCTTGACGGTAGGACGCAGGGGAGAACGCAGTTTGGGGTGCTGGTGCTGATGGTGCTGTGGGACACAGTTTGTGGGGAGCTGTTTGAGGTGCTAGTGACGGTGCGGGCTCATTTTTTGCGATATTGACGCTCGGGTGCTATCGGGCATGCCGGTGACGGTGCAGGCGCATGTTTGCATCTTGATGGTAGGGTGCAAGGGGGCATGCAGCTTAGGTGGTGGTTTGGGATTCTGTTTGGGCTGCTGGTTGATTTTCGCAAGATTGACGGCTGGGTGTCTTGGGGGTTGCTGTTTGAGGTGCTGGTGACGGTGCGGGCGCATTCTTGCTCGATTGACTGCCGGGTTTTGCTTGGGGCGTGCTGTTGTGCAAGCACTGCTATCATTTTATTTATGTTTTCCTTGGCTTCCCTCAAAAAACCCACCGAGAAAAAAATGAGAGGTGAAACCAACAGGAGAACCGACATTTCCGGGCTGGAGTCCCCTAAAACCAGGATGCCCCCAACTGCTGCACCCGACCGACCCGCGAACCGCGCCTTGTAGGGCTGCTTCCCCTTGGGCGTGTCATGCAGCAGTTCTTCCGCCTTCCGCGGCACGAGCCTCAGTCGAGCGAATCGGCGCAGATGCCGCGGTTTGGGGGGCACCCGCCTTGTGGGCCTGAGACGAGCAAAAGGACCGAAGAGGTCCTGCAAAAATGGAACCGTTTGCCTTTTGCCTTTGCGATAGCGCACAGTGTCTGTTCAACGCAGCGATTTATTGGGGGGAGGGGGAAAGAAGGAGAAGGCCCCAAAAACAAACAAGTCAGCGTGTCTGTACAAGAAAATGGAACCATTTGAGTTGAGAAGCAAGAGCGCCAACCAGTCACGGAATAGAAAGGCTATGGAAAAAAAAGCAGTGCAAATGGAATTTCAAAAAAGATGGTGCTAAAGGCATTAGGATACCTTGTTCTGGTAGGCTCTCCGGATCTGACATTGCGAGAACAGAAAATATATGGGTGTGGTCAAACATAGGTACACAAAATAGAACTCTGGTAAATGGAAACAAGGATACAATCTGTGGTCCTCTGGTGGTTCAATTTTGACCCATACCCATGTGGAAGGAACAGTTCCCTTTCTGTTAAGACCTCCAATTGATGCGTTGGGCAAACACACACCAATGGCGTACCAATTGTTGCAGTCCAAGCAGAACCGTTGAGTACATCCCTTCTAGTGGGCCATCGGCATGGCCTTCGGATGGGCGGATGGTTAACAACCACTCGTACTAAAAGATGGTTGACCACCCCTACACCCACCCAGTGTTTCGACTATGGCACGAGTTGCAGACGACTGCCCTCTTGTCCAGGCCGGCTGTCCGCTTCTGTGTTGGAAAGATGGCAAACCACCTCCAACCGCAAACTCCTGGCAATTTGCAGTAAATTACCTACTTGCTACCAAAAGGATCTGAGCAAATGACCACAAGAAATCAGGAACTTAGCAGTCCTTCAGGGTTTCGGCGGATTGGTGAGCTTGCGAGGCGTCCTTTCAAGGGGAGCCAAGTACCATGGAACGGTCCCGTTTAAAGGAGAAGAGTCTTCCAGGACCCCTCAGTCAGATTCCATATTGGACATTAGGGTATGTCCCTTTGAACCTTTTTGGGTGGAAATCGGGAGGCCCATTTAAAGGGGGCTCCCTACTGGATGGACGAAATCCTGCACCACCTAAGAAACCCTGGAATGTGGATTCCCTTGTAAATACCAACCACCGATGGTTTGTCATGGTTTCAAAGTGGTGCATTCACAGCATGTCAAGACGATAGGAAACCAACCAGACCTTTCCGCCCAACGCGGAGCGCCAGGCCGCAGGTACTCGCGGCCGTCGTAGTTCTCGTGGAAGCGCCAGGGCGCCTGCGTCTCCTCGTGGCCCTCGAAGAAGAACTCGTTGGCCATGTGGTTCATCACCACCTCAGACCGAACACCTCACTCACATAGGTGTCCTCGCTCCAAAAATGACTTCCTTGTTGACTTCCAACCAGAAGGAGCTTGTTTCCAAACCAGCTCCCTCCCACCAACCTACCCTCCGTGGTTTGCCTCGTTGACTTCCCAAAACGAACCAAGTTGGGGCTTCCGACTCCAAAAATGACACACCCCTCTAGCAGTCAACAGGAGATGATCACCTTTTGGGATGACCAAAAGTAGGTGTCCTTTTTGGTTGAAACTAGCTGGATTTCCCTGGTAGTTGATTGAACCGCCAGGTAAACCAGGAATCGCCCTCTATGTTTCAACCAAATCAACCAAAAAGGACACCTGTGGCTTAGTTGCCAGGAGATGATCACCTTTGAAAACCATGACCAAAAGTGGTTGCCAAATTTGGGAAACCAAAAGGTAAGAAGGTCGGCTTTGGACAAGTGAGCTGGTTACAAAATCCGCTTCGCACCACGAAATGAAACCATGGGAAACCATTGTCGGTTGGCGTTTACATTCTTAGGTGGTGCCTGAATTCGTCTATCCACATTTTGAGAGAAATGCAACTCTGTCCTCAACATCCGGGTGCTTCTCAACATAGGGGCACCCGAAATGGCAAAGGTGTCTGCTTCAAATGCCTTCCGAAAGGTGATCCATCTTTAGAAACTCTCATATCGGTCTGGCGGCTTTCCCTCCGGAGTGGGTACCAGATGTGTCAAACTTGGGGGGACACCCCCAAATGTGATTGCTTGCCTCTCGGTCTCCCTTTCAAGCAAGGTGAAAAGAGTATCCTCAAAAAGCCATTCAGTTAGTAGGTTGTATGGGTTGCGTGCCTAGCGCCTATTAACTTGACCAGAACCGCAAAGGGGTTTGTCTCAAAAATTGGGATTTTGCAAAATGGTCAGTATCCCTTTGGTTCCCTTTAAACCAATTTAAACGGATATCCTCATAGCACTTTAGGGCCCCCCACCCCCAAGCACCTCCAAACATTGCTTATTCTTATTTTTTGTTCAGGGGGATTTTTGCAACTAACATAGCACCAGACATGGGGTCCCTTGAAGAGGAAACCAATCTTCCAGGTACCCTCCGAGAGGTGCCATGTATTTCGGCAGAAAAAATGGGGGGGCCGGCTGGGGAATATTGCGGCCCAGCAAAAGCAACAGCCCAACAAACCCGACAACCTAGAAAACGGACCCCAGCCGAACCAACCCTCGTTCCGTTGGGCCGCGTCCACAATCACGTACATACCCAGCGCGTGGGCCGCCGTCGTGAGCGCCCGCAGCTCCTACTCGCTCATTTGGCCATGGGTCGGTCAAAAGCCCGGTTATCCCCCAGTCAGCATCCCAATCCCCACTAAAATAGGTTCTAAAATGGGTGGTGCACCTGTCCCTAAATAGAACAATTGGTTTTGACCCACGGTCATTTCTCACCCGACAGCAGAAGAAAACCTACCCAACCCGTGGATAAAAGAAACCCAAGTCAGGTTCCGTCCAGTGCTTTGAGTTCTTTCTGGATTGGATTGGTGGTTTCACATTTAGGGGTGGATTCCCTCGAATCTGTGCACTATTCTTCAATTGAACAGTAGTTCATAGAGCGACTTGGATTCCCATTGCCTTTTTGCAAGAACCAGGCAAACTCATCTAAAGGCGACCTGCAGAAGATGGTGCTCAATGAAAGCACTCTCGACTCACTTCCGAGTCTTGAAAGACAAGATGTTAACCTTTAGGTTGGCCTGCATCCCCTACCTCTCCTGCATCCCTTATATCCTTGCATCCTTTGAAATGCAGCCCTTGCAGTTGTTGCTGCATCACCTGCACACATCACATGCATCAGCCACATCGCCTGCATCATCTGCATCAGATGAAATGCACTGCATCATGTTGCGCATTCCTGCATCCTCCACTTACCTACATCACCCAGCACTTGCATTACCGACATCACTCGCATCACCTGCATTACATGCATCACCTGCATCACATGCATCACATGCATCACATGCATCACATGCATCACCTGCATCACCTGCATCACCTGCATCACATGCATCACCTGCATCACCTGCATCACATGCATCACCTGCATCACCTGCATCACATGCATTACCTGCATCACCTATCACCTGCATCCAGCATCACTCTAGCAGCAGCAATTGTCCACAGTCAGCCGAAATGGTTGGAATGTCACCATGGTCATAAGCTCACTCAAACGGCAATCCTCACTGAGCGTGCGGCCGGTTGTTCTTGGACTACCTGAAATTGGAAAACGTAAGGACTGCCAAACTTGCCGAAAGGTCATGTCCACAGTTCCACAGTTCCACAGCTCATGCATACTAAGAAACAACCACAAAGGAAACCCTGGTTCACGACAAAAATGGGAACCATACCAATGAGGGTCGTGTTCATTGCTTCTTACTTACCATACCATTTGCGTTGGGTGGTTTCACCTGGTTTAGCAATCATAGACAACAGGTTGTCATTTTGAGGCGGACCTTCTTGCAACACAACACCATCCTGTCGACTTGCAGGTATGCAAATCTTGTCTCAACCGAGGTAGCAGAAGGAAACCATTCGGAGCTATGTCCACTATGCTGACGTTCGCATATTTCAAGTGTGCGAACACTCACGCGAAGTCACCAGACTGGTGCGTTTCCTGCCTGGGAATCCTGTGCCTGTTCTTTGTACCCCAAAAAAGGCCGGCCAAGATCCTCAAGTTTCTGGGTCAGCTTGCCTCGCAAAACCTGCCAAGTTCTTCTCAACAAGTCTTAAATTCAACCACTCAACGCAACCAACCAGCCAACCTAACCACCAACCAACCCAACCAACAACCAACCCAATCAGCCTCACCTACAGTAACCAGCCTGCCCACAGTGGTAGAAACTAATAAGCCTGAAGTCAAGACCGAGCCTAACCAACCTAACTGAACCCAACCCACCTCGAAAAAGCCAACCTGCCCAAACCAATTTTTTATACTAAAAAGATTAGGTCAAAAGAATCGAGAAGAATACTGATTTAAATACAAACAATGACAATACTCTGAATCGTAATAATAATAATCACACTAATAATGCCAAACCATTCTTTGTAACATATGTTGTAGAGGAAGAGTACTAGTAAAACTAACAGATAGAAGAAGAAGAAGAAGCAGAATGAAGAATGAAGAAGAAGAATGAAGAAGAAGAAAAAAACGAAGAGCAAGAACTCAAAGCCTCGACTTCCGTGCCGAACCCTTTGTCGCTTCAGCCGCGGGCTTCTCGCGCCTCTACGGTGCCCAGCCGCTGATCCAGCAAGGTGAAGTCCAGCTGCGCGTACCTCGGGACGTCAGCTGCGCGTCTTTCAGCTTGTTCGCCCGGCGAAAATGGGCTCCGTGGTCGGGGTCCCCGTGCTGAAAGTCGGGGAAAGGGCGAAAAATGGGTACTTGAACCCAGACTTTTTCCATGGTAAAATGGGTACGGGTCAAAACTAGACCGTGGGACCACAGGTTAGAGTCCTTGGCCACTCCCTTTCTAGCAGTTTGGCCTTCGAGAGGGCCCAAAAAAAAAAAAATATGGGTATGGGTCAAAATTCCAGCATGGGACCACAGGTTAGAGTGCTTCCATTTACCAGGGTTCCCATTTTGGGCACCACCAAGACTGAAATGGAGTTTGTTTTCCATTTGGCTTCCCTTTAAACCAACCCCCAAAGGGCATCCTCGACAAAAAGACGGACCTGTTTTGGTTTGATTTAGATTGATGTACCTCCCCCATTAGGTTTCATAAGTTGGGGTTCAAAGGGCTGAAAATCCCAAAGCCATCCAATCCCACCAATTGGTGCATCCTGAAGTACAGTACCAGCAGGGGAAAACAGGGATACCTGGGGTATGCACAGGTTGAAAAATGGTTGTTGAGCCTGGTGTAAGTCGTGGCCAAACAGGTTGAGGAGACTGAGCTAGGTGAAGCTCTCTTGGATGCCCATAGCGGGTCCCCGTGAGGTCGCAAGCCTCCTTTCTGTTGCAGTTTCTTAGGGGGACCCTTCTTTTGGTTGGCTTCAAAAGGACAACCAAACTTGAAACCGTCGCGCCATTTTGGGCGGATCCCGAAAGAAAGACACGCCCAGAAGTCAAGCTACGTCTGAGAGAAAAGAAACCGCTTCAGCTTCCCTGTTGCTGGTTTGGGCGGCTTCCACTACGCGCTACCTCCATACTATCTTACATCTGCAGGAGTTGTTAGAACTTTCACCGACCCAAAGCGGAGGTCGCAACCCCTTCTTGAGGTACCCAGAGATATAGGAATCTCGAAATGGGGCAGGCCCCACCAAGAAGGTTGCTCAAAGGGCCTTACAATCCAACACCAGGGGGTAGAACTGCTCACATGGTAGACTTTGAGTTGGGTACGGTGGTGATTTGTTGGTTGGTCAGCGTGTTTCGGACCCTCAATCCCAGGGGGAAATCCAAGCCAACCAAACCTCTCAAAAATTGTCTGACAAGAACAGCGGAACCCATTGGTTTCCTATGACCATTGCATTCACTTTGACCGTGGCTTGTGTGCTTCTTACGTCGGAAAGCAATCGGCGATGTGGAATGCGCGACTCTCATCGCTTTGCCCAGCAGCTGATGGTAGCTGTTGATGCCTCAGATTGCATCCGTTGTGGAAAGTGGCTGCTCAATGTTTATTTTCAGATTGCACCCCCTATGTTTCCCACGATGCAGCGCATATTTCCCCGATACTTCGAATTTGCTTGAGGTCTTAAGTGTACGGCAGGCAACCATGCGATTTCCACTGCCGAATTTCCTCAAATTCAAAGCTGATCAATGTCCTGCTCTTTCCAAGCTCTTGCATGCGCAGCACCTTTGCATGCACAACACGGCTGACTCCTTTGTCCTGGCCATATGTATCAGGATCTAAGGAAGCAAAGAAGCAAAAAGGACCAAAAACCCAGAAGTGGAAAGTCAAGTTGATCAATCAGCTCTCCCGCTTTTTGCAAAAGTGCTTCTCATACTGGCGGTGTCCGCTGAAACGAAAGCCGCTGGTCCGACAGTCGACAGCACCCAATGGCCTGAAGTGTCCATTTTAAGGGGTCCTTCTGGATCAGTTTGCTTGATCGATGACGCTGGTTTGATTTCGATTCCTTTTTCATTGACCAGTGGAACCTATCGAATTGTCCAACGCCCTATCCACCAAAAAAAGACTACGACCACAGGAATACTTGGGGGCGTGTGGTTTTGGAAGGGGTGGCGTGGGGGTGGGGCTTGGATTTCTGCCGCCGTACCTGACAACCAACAACTAACAAGCGCTTTTTACAACCGGACAAATCAAACATTGAGGGGTAACGTACCACTCTTCACTTGCACCTTGAACTCTCAGTTGCCAGATTTCTCGAATATGCAAACGTTTAGAACTTTTATTGGCTGAACGGCCATGCAGATTGCCTTCCTGAAAACGGTCGGATCCTGTTTGTGCCCCGTTTGTCTTCTTCAAGGAGCCTCATTTCACTTAAGACAATGGGGTCATTTGCACCGAACCAAGCTGGTACGGCTTTGCTGAACACACAAAAAACATACACCCGAAAACCCCCACATGCCCTTCTTGTTTTGTGAGGCAGCCGTATGTTTGCTTTTCACCCCGAACGCTGATGTGTTTGTCAAGCTTTCTTTGGGGCTTCTGGTTCGTTTCAAGCCACTTTCGCCCTTTCGCCTTCCGTTCCCAAATCGCCAGTGTGTGTTGGCGGCGGGCAGGGAAAGCCTTGAGACCAAGGCTTGGGGCAAAATCCGGTTGAAACCAAATTAGGGAGTTGATTTCAGGCTGAAAATCGGAATGAAAATCAGGTGTTGACTCCCGAGGGCTTCATTGGCACAAGAAATCTTTGTCCTTTCGTTACCTCACCGCCGAGCTTCTTCAGATGCCAGGGATCCAGAAACCTACAAGCCCGAAAAGCCATCCCCAAGTTTGCCCAAAGACCTCGTCACCAGCTCAGTCCTGCCTTCATGAAGCCAGACACAAAGGTAACTGCTGCTGGTCGAACAAAAACAAATGCAAAGGGCAAAAGGTGAGAAAGTCTGATGCCTTGGACCTTAGAACCCCTCTTTTTTCTGTAAACAGGATGTCAGGTTGTGTTCGATGCTTGGCACAGCCTACCAGCTACCTCCATTGTCTTTGCTTTGGAGGTGAACGGGGCTCCCTGCTTAAAGGGGCAGGCTACTTAGTAAGCGGGTAATAACCATGGTTTCCCACTTAGTAAGCTGGTATAACTGTCCTAAGTGGGATATAACCAG